CCTGTGCCAGGCTGCCCTAGCCCTGCTGACTTGGATTCCCTACTCTCCCCAAGGGTCCTGCTCCCTACAGAATTCTCAGAGTGAAGCACTGGCACCAGCGCAGACAGGCCACAGTCATCTTGTGTTGCCTGGACCGAGTCCATGACTAGCTGTGGTGACTGAGCCTTCAGGTGGCTAACTATCTAGAAGGGGGCTAACAACTGGAATTTGAGGAGCCTGCCCCAGCACCTCTCCTGTTGTCCCAGAGAATCCCGTCTCACTGTTAGAGCTGCCCTCCTATGGTTTCAGCACTGTCACTCTTCTCAGAAAGAAATATATTTTACTGTGTTTCACAAAAATAGTAATGCTCATTCTACAAAAACTCCAGCATATCCTATCTTCTCAAAAAATGTCAATGTTCTTGTACCAAGGGTGGGGCAGTGGTCCCTCCCTAACATGCTAGCCCACAGGTCTGGCTCCAGGCACAGGTGCAGAGGGAAAGGCAGTGGTGCGCAGATTGTTTTTGCCAGCTGGGTCCTGGGCTCCCCAGCTGAGTCTCTGAGGACTGTCTTTCCCTGTTGACTCCAAATGCCCATCCACCACCCCAGGCCCTTCCACTGCAGGGAAACTCTATCTCAGCAGTGGTGGCTGGCCGTCGGCTGAGAGCCACACAGAATGTCCCAGGGACCTTTCAGTGTGGGGGCCCAAAACCAAGAAGAAAAGTGGAAAGGAGACCCAGACAGAAAAGGGGTGAGGCAGAGCAAAGGAACCCAGACCTTCTGAGCTGCTAGTCCCAGGGAAGGGTCTGAGATGCACAAGCTGAGAGAAGGGAGTGGGGTGATGAGACCGATGGGAGGCCAAGGGGGAAGACAGGAAGGAAAAGGGCAAGGCACCCAAAGTTCTGCAAGCAACGCAGGGCTGCCGACATCCCTGAGACAGTGGACTGGCCCAGCCTCAGCAGAGGGAAAAGGCATCAGAAGGAGCCGGGCTAAGCTGGGGCCAAGGACCCAGGCCTGGAGAGCTGGCTTGATGTACCTGCCAGAGTACCCTAGGAATGCAGAAGAAGGAAGAACAGCTAGTCCCAGGAGTGAGCCTCTAAAGTTCCAGGTTCTAAGCACAGGAAGGAGGTGCTAAAGGCTTCTACCAGAGCTGCAGGGCCACTGGCAGCGGAGGGCTGGAGGGCTTATTTGTGAGGTACAGGTAGCATCTGGGGGAACCCAGGCTCCAACTCTCACCCAACCATACACACACCTTGGATTTCCTAGAATCCAGGAGAGGCACCACATTTTCAGTCCTACAGGGCCCACTGTGGGGGTGGGGGCACCTACTGGCAGGGTGCACCTTCCAGAAGACAGAAGTTCAGGAAGTCAGTCCCACCCAGTGAGTCGCCAAAAGGCATGGAGAAGGTGGAGAGGGATTGAAAGGTCCCTGGAGAAAGACCGGATCGGGCCCACACCCCCAAAAAGCAGCAAGAATTGAAGGGTAACAGCCTACACTGAGTGAGCTGAGGCCAGAGGGAGGATGACATCTTTCCCTAGTTCAGATACTTGGAGAAACCCTTTGGAGACCTAGTCCTAAGGAGCAGCTGAAGGGACTTGGGTCAGTTGGGTACCCTTCCTTACCAGCCCTTCCCCCATCCCTTCTGGTGTGAGTAGACGACTTGGACCACCATGTTGCCAGGGAACTCTCTGTGGCAGAGCAACCACTGACTCCAGCCCAGGATGCAGCAGCTCCTTGTGCCCAGACCAGCTCACACTGCAAAGCCAGAGCCCACTAATTCCCTGGAACCGGAGAGGCAGGGACAGAGACTTATAGTGGGTATCCAGCTGGGCATCAGGCTGCCAGGTGATGTCAGAGTCACTGGGGAAGTAGTTTAGGCCATCACCCTGTCCCCGTTGGCTGGGATCTCCCTGCTCCCAACACACACAGATCCCTCTAGCTAAAGTTCCCAAATAGCTTTACAAAGGGGTATGGGGAGAGAGGGAGCAGGTAGAGAGGCAAAGGACCTTCTCCAGGTCCCTAGGATCGTGGCTGGGTTGAGATAACAGTAAGACTGGGCGATGTCATTGGGAGTAGGCACAACAGGCACAGAACACTGGCCAACCAGTCCTGCGGAATCCCGGATCTTAGTGAATTCGTGCCAGGCGGACTCCTTCCGCGCAGCGCTGCCTCCAGCTTACCCTGCACCGGAGGGTCCTCCAGAGCCAGCGTCCCAACACGTGTGCGCATAGGCGGGGGCGCACACAAACTCAGCAAAGCCAACTCTGCCATGAGTCTGTACCAGAAGGGGAGCGCCCAGCTTTCCCCACCCAGCAGGCACAGGAGGTAGCCCGGCAGGACTCGGTCTCCAGAGAGGGAAGCACGTGGGCGAGAGCCCTGTGGTTCCTGAACAACTCGTCTCCTGGGCGGGGAACTGAGCAGCGCTGGGAGTGTGCCCCGGAAGGAACTGCGGGGTGCGAGGCGGCCTGGTATTGGAGAACCTGGATTCAAGCCGCCGTCCAGGCGCCCGGATCGGCCTGACAAGGATCTGGCCTGGACCAGAGCCCGGGCTTGACTAGATCCAGCATCCCCCGCCATACCCACAAACACTACACACACTCTCTGCGTCAGCGCGCAGAAGCCCTTAAGTTCCTCACTCGATCCCCGCATGCACAATCTCGGGCGCTGGGTCCCCACTTTCCAGGCCCTCGGAGAAAAGCCGGTACTCCTGCTGGGCTACACATTCCCCGCCGCGAAGAGAAACTGGGGAAAGAATAAAGGGCGTAGGAGAAAGGTAAAGACAGAACTTCCAAGAGTCAACCGCTCCCGCGCTCCCTGCGGGGCTCCCACAAGCCGGAAAAGAGAAAGGGGCCCCAACGTCCCGAGTTCTGGCTCCGCGGTATTCTGCGAAGCCTCCGGCCTTTTGCGGCGGAGCTGCCCGCTCACCAGTGAGTGTGTGCACGCCCGGAAGCCCATCCACGCACCCCAGAAGAGTTCTGGATGGAGACCTGAGTTACTGGCACGGAAAGACGTCATTTGTGAAAAGAAAAATTTGAAGGGTAATAAATAAAACCCGGCAGGGTTCAGCGGGTGCTGTTCCATTTTTCTTTAAACAGAAACCCTGACCTCGCATGTGGCAGGCAGAAAGCGAGGGTTTGGGAAGAGCCAGGAGATTCGAGCCAAGTGTTTGCTTTCTGCTTAGAATTTTTCTATACCAGGTGCGTCTTGTTTGAATAATAAAAATAAGCTTGAGGGAGCCAAAGAGGAGAAAGACTTAAGTCCCGAGAGAAGATGACGCGCTGGATCAGGCGACCAGCGTCCTAGTAGGCGGGGGTGGAGGGCACCCTGGCCCTTGTGGAGGTCGCTGAAGGCCGCCCCTCCAGGGGCCAGGCTCTGAGGTACAAAGTGCAGGGCTCACGACGCACACACGGCCCGGGTGCTTCCAGCCAAGCTCGGTCCGGCTGGGTCACACTCCCCAAGGCCCTCCAGGGACTATAAACGTCTTTCCTTCCGGAGCCCCAAGAGCCACGAACCCTCAGCGCTCGCAGCTGGCCCAGGCGGCTCTCTCTTTGCACATCCTGCCCCACACCCTGGGAGTAATCCCGCTGCTCCCCTCCCCCGCCCAAACTGCCTTGTGGCCCAGGATCTTTCTCTCCCGCCCTCCCTTCCTTCTATCCTTCCTTTCTCACAGGCACACTGAACACACACTAAGGCAATGACACATGTACACTCTTTGCCCCACTCACCAGCAATTCACTGAGCCATGCCACAGACACCTGAGATCGACAGCCACCGACCCTGCTCCCACAGACGCCCTCAATCAGACCCTCGGACAAACCGAAGCACTCGGTCACCCTAGCGTGAGGGCCAGGGAAGGGAAGCAAAGACTGTTACAGCGCTTTAGGGGAGGGTCACTGGTCCTCCAGAGCGCGCGCACACGTGTGCACACACCCTTTCGCTGGAGTCTCTCAATCTTTTCCTCCAAGCCCCTTCCTAAGTCAAAGGAAGGGAAATCCTGGCTGGCCTCTCCTGGCGCTGTCGAAGGAGAAGCTAAACTAGGGTGAGCACGGGCTCCTCAGAAAGCGCTGGGGACCCTGACTCCTCTGAAGGCCTAGGGCTCTGCCCAGGGACCCCCACTGCTCAGCTCCACAGCGCCGATTTCCAGCCTCGCTTACCTCCGCCTGCGCTTCCGCCTCCCCAGCTCAACGAGGACGGGACCGGGGATCTGGAACTGAATTGGGGGAGCTCCACCGGGAGGGGATGCACAAGGAAATGCCCACTTTCTATCCCTGCGTCGAGGTGCAGTCCCTGTGTGAGGGCCTGTGAGCTGCTGGGGAATCGGGCATTTGCTGCCTACCAGAGTCGCGGCCTCATTCGACCCTCTCAGCTCCAGGACCCGGCTGTCTGCTCGTCTGTTTTCTCTCCCCGAGCCAATGAGGGTTACTCAGTCAGTCCCCTCACCTCACCCTCTCGGATTCATTTATTATTCCTGGCCCTGCTCTCCCAGGAGCGCCGGGAGGGGCCTGAAGTCTGTGTTTAACAGTGTGGGTGGAAGTCTGTGTCTGAGCGCGGGATGGAGCACTGAATCGCAGGCCTGAGCCCCCGCCCCCAGTTTCCTACCCCGCCGGGCGCCCGAGCAAGGCCAACCTCTTGTTTTCTCCGGGATCTCGCCGGGGTCGCCTTCCTGGAGAACTTTGGTTTTGGATTTGGCTGGAAGAGCCGGAGCACGGAGGCTGTGCTTCCTTGGGGACGGCGGGAGTGGGGAAGGGAGTTGATAAACTTTAGAAGAGGATTTTAGGGCCTTGCTCGAACCTCAGGGCTACCCCAGCCTCCCCAAACCGGGCGCGGAGTGGGGTTAGACTAGGAGTAGAGGAGTGGGGCCACCGTCCCCCCACCCACTGGCGCCGCTCTCTGGTGAGCTGCGGCGAGTTGCAGAACCCCGACTCGGGCCCAATCAGCAGGGAGGGGTGGAGCACCCGGGCGGGGGCGGTGCCGGAGGAGGAGGAGTCGGACGAGGAGCTCGAGGGGCGGGGAGCCTTCGGCTTTGAGTACCCAGGCTGGCCAGGCGGTGGCTAAGGCGGCGGTGGCGGCCGGCATGGGCGACGGGGGTGCCGAGCGCGACCGTGGCCCCGCACGCCGGGAGTCGTGCGGTGGGCGCGGCGGGGATCGCAGTGGAGCGGAGGACTCGAGCGTTGATGCCGGAGGCCGCAGCCCAAAGGAAATTGCGGGAACCTCTGCCTCCAGCCCCGCGGGCTCTAGGGAGAGCGGCGCGGACAGCGACGGGCTGCCCGGACTCGGAGAGACAGACCACTGCCGCCGCATCCTGGTGCGAGGTAAGAGAACTGCTCACCGCCCTGGCCCACTGGACTCCCACCCGATCCCCACTGGGGCCTCCTAGTTTCCTGCAGCCTCCACCTCCCAATTCATAAATCCATTCATTAGGTCATCATTCAGACATTCACTCAGCAAATATTATTTTGAGCATCTATTGTGTGCCAGACATTGAGCCTAGTGCAGGGGACAAAGCGGCGAATGGGACCAACAATATCCCCACGTCACTGCCTTCAAATTCTCAGGCTCTCGCGCCGGCCTTTCACCCCAGGCATCCCAGCCGGGTGCTGTGTAGGGGGGGTAGAGATGGGAGTGCAGTGTGGAGAGCCGGCTCCTCGCCCCGCGTCCCTCAAGGCGGGTGTCTAGAAAAGCGTCACGAGTGCTCCGAGGAGACAGGACAAAAAGGGACCAGCGTCGGGAATCGCGGGAGGAAGAGGCCCGGGCTAAGCCCAGCGGCTGAGGTGCTTCCCCTCCGCCTGCTCGGCGTTTCCCCAGCGGTGCAGAGCGCACCGGTGGCTCGCGGAAGAGCGCACCGGGACGCTGAGGGTTCCCGCGGTTCCGCCGCCCGGGCTTAGTTCTCTATGTTTACACTTCCTCGCGGCGCCCGGGCCCAGCCGGCTCCCGTGCGGCCTTCTCCCGGCCTGGCCTTTCGCGTCTCTCTGTTTCTCTCGGGCATCGCCCTGCTCTATTCTTTCCTGGCCACTTCTCTCTGCCCAACTCGCCTTCTCAGCACTCTCCTCCTGCAAGAGCCCCTGTACTGCGCCCGAATACCCAGCTCGTCTGGCCTCCTCACCGCGAGGCTAAGGCTTCCCCGAACCCCAAAGCCAGCCTCACGCGAAGCTCTAGGCTCGCCTTTCGCTGGATCCGGGCCTCGCTCAGTGAGACGGGAGAAAGGGGACTCCAGGGTCTTGCCCTCTGCCTGTCTCTAGGCCTCCACCAGAGCCTGAGGCCTGTCACCTCGCCCTCCTTGAGCCCCAAGATCGGGAGACGCAGCGCCCAGAAGAGGCCACTCGCGGGTAACAGCTCCACCGGTCTCCTTCTCCAACTTTCTGGGCTTCCTCCAGCTGCCTTCTTCCTGCTGCTTTCTGAGCGCCAGCTCTGGGAAATGCGGGGCTGACTGGCCAGAGCCTATTTCCTCTGCTACTGCTGGGGAAGGAGAACCAACCTTATGCTTGCTCTAGGTTACTGGAGCGCCAGGATCCCCGAGTTTGTCTGGTGTGAGCTAGACTATTGCACAAACTGGGACACCTTGGCCAGGCCGTCCACCACAGCTGCTAGGTTTGAGTGGCTCTGGAAATGGAGATAGAGCTAGAGGACAGCATGAAGGCAGTCCAATGTGAAATCAACTGATGACTGTCTTGGACACGGAGGAATCTGGTTGTTGGGAAACAACTCCTGGTGTTAGGTGTGGTCACCTTGAGCTGGGGTGCCAGCACCATACTGAGGGTAGACTTGGGCCAAGGCAGTTAAAGGACAAGGCATGGGAGGTGATCCGCACCCAGTAGGGATTCCAGAAGATGTGTGGACCTGTTGGGCACCTGGGATTAAATTAGATCCCATTCCATAAATTTGAGGTGTCCTGGGTACAGGGCCATTAGCAGCCAGCATGCAGTTCCATGAAAGAAGTCAACAGGGTTTCCAGAAATTGAGAAATCACTCCCCTCAGCCCACACTCCCAGTTTAAGACCCTCAAGTCCCTGCCTGTAATACTCATCACCTCACACGCCATCATGGGTGGACATTTCCTTCTGCCTGAACAATTGTGTTCTGTGCCCACCTACCATCCTTTCCATTCTACTAACTGAATGGAGAACAAATAAATTTCGTGTATAGATGTCAGTTTAATAACTCCCAGGTGTGGCTTCAGAAGAAAGGAGTCAAAAGTGACCCTCTACTTTCTGGGGTGAGGGCAACCCACTCTAAGAAAAATCCACAGCCGGGCAGAGATGAACCCCTATTGTATGTGGTGTAGATTGTGTGTGCTGTCCATAGTGTACTTTTATAAATGCATATACACACATACAGTGATGCCATGACCTTTGGAAAATATAAATATAGCACAGATCGTGTACTTACACACCTAAAAGAAATGAAAAGTAAACAGGGCCCTCATAAGTCCCTCTGCTCTTTCCCATTTAATGACAAGGAGGTTATTATAGGCTGTAGATACCCAGCATCAGTTAGCACTAATCCTTCCTAGCCAGGGTCATCTGCGTCACACTCAGCTTCCCCCAGGCCCAGGGCGGGGGTTCTGACAGCTAAAAAACCCTGGGGAAGTGAAGCCCTCGGCGCCGTGGCCCCAGGATGTGGAGAATACTCTTTGCCCTTGACCTACTAGGACACATCCTCCCAAAGTACCTTTGGAGGAAACCATAAAAAGGTGGAGGAGAAACATTTGCCAATTCAGCCATCAAGTTGCTGGTAGGTGAGGATTCTAAGATATCCACTCTCTCTGGGTCTTTTCTATTCCCCACTTCTCCCCTGAGCACCCTCCCCAGGGTAGCACATCTGTTGGGGGAAGTCCCAAGGCATGGGGAGTAAAAGGAAAACTTGGGTACTGGAATTAGATGAAAGTAGTTTGAAATACCAGCCTTACAGCCCTTTGAAATTGAACCAGTTTCTTCATCTCTCTGCCTGTTTCTTCATCTATACAAAGAAATCTGTAGCTCTTACTTTGAATGACCTTGCTAAGGGTCAGAGGTGGTAGCTATAGAACTACAAACCCTGTAAGATCTCCTTAAATATTCCACTGAATGAGAGAAGGGAGCTCTGAGGTAACCCCCAAGCCACTTCTGGAGTGGTCCTCCTTCCTCAGAGACCTCCCCCAGCTCACCACATTGTAGGGGACATGGTCTCCTTCCCCTGAGACCCACAGGCTGCCAGTGTGTTGGGAGGTTAATAGCCAAAGGGTGAAAAACCCAGCCTTCCCCAATCCCCTTGCAGGAACGCTGGCTTGTGTTTCCATCTGCCTTTGCCAAATGCCAGTTGGGGAGCCAGGGAGGTGGACCTCACTGCATCCCCCCACCTCAAAGTAGAGGCTGCTTCTTGCCACAGACAGGCACAAACAAGGCCACCAGGATGACAGGCGTATGAGCATAACAGGAACCCCACTGTGGAGACAGCTAGGCTTGCAGGGGGGCCATACAGTCATATAGGTGCAGCCACACACTTCTGTGTGCACAGCCCACTGGCCAGTGAGGAATAGTCATGGGGATCCCATTGTTTTACATTTGGAAAGGGCGCCAACCTCCAGCAGGAGGCAGCCTGAATGAACTGGCCACCTCCTAGCCCTGGCTCAGGCTGAGGCCTTTTTGGTGGAGCCGGGATCCCAGCAATCCGAAGAGGTGGGAAAACTTCTCATCCCAAACTCCCTGCAACCTCACAATCTATGCTCACACTCGCACCCTCGCACGTGCCCTACATGATTCTCAAATTAATCCGGACGGGAATCCAACAACCTGTCTGGGTAGAGCTAGGAATGGTGGCGGTCTGCGAATGTCACCCGAACCAGCAGTTTTTATGATCAATGCGTGTCATCGGTTCCTGCTCATTTGAAGCAGTTCTTTGGGCCTGTGGGTCTCAAAACCCCATTTGGGCCACGTCCCTCTGCCCTCCAATTCTGTGCTGCCACCTGGGCACAAGCTAGGCATGACTCAGGCTGCAAATGGCTGCTCCCCACCCCCCAACACAACCACCCACTAGCTGCTGGGCAATTCCTACTGTGGATGTGGGTGCGGGGAAGGGAAGTATTGAATTTAGTGGAGTTCTGCTCCCCTGAGAACTCGGGGGCAGTGGTGGACCCACATTCCAGAAACAGCACATCCAAACAGAGCACAATGGTATACACATATCAGGCAGGGCCCTGGCTGCTAGACTTGACTGAAGATGCCTGGCAAGGGGCCACAGCTTCCAGGGCTTGATCTGGGGGTGACTTGCAGGAATAAGCACCCCCCTCTATCAGCCAGGCTCAGCGTTATCCAGTGTACACTAGCTTTCTACTTAGATTTACAGCGGCCACTGGACATGAGACACTTGGTGGGACCTTAGAGGCCTACCCCGAGATCAGAGAGCGCAGTAGCTGCCTGAGGGCACACCTGTCCCCCTCCCTGTGGATGTTTGGGCAATGGAGAAGTCGAGGCAGAATGCTGTTTAGGAACAAACACTGGATTTAAAGTCCAGGCACTTGGCCCTAGGCAGACGAGCAGAACGCAGGACTTTAGCCTCAGTATGAGTCTGTTAATAGAATAAATAATCCCAGGACCAGTCGCCCCCCAGGCAGTGGATGAAAGGATTAAATGGTTCATGCAGGAGGCTGCACTATGGGATTTTTTCTTTTTACTTAAATTTTTAATTTCAGAGTTTGTGGGCTTATTAGGTTTCTTTTGTATTTCCTTGGAATTCCTTTGTTATGTTTTTCTTTTTCTTTGTTTATTTTTTGACAGAAGGACCTACTTTCTTATCTGAGGTCTGTGCCGGACTCTATCCGTTTGATTTTTATTTAGCCCTTTATATACATTTTCCCTCCCCAGCGTCCTTTCCCCCAACTCAGGGACACAGTCCAGCAACCAAATGTGTCATCTTGTTGTATCTCGTGTTCCCCGTTTTCATTTTCAGGGAACTGTGAAGGGTTTGGCGGCTCCTTGTGTTCTCACACCATTTCTGCTGCCAGGGGTGGTCGCCTGGACTCGGTGTGGGTGGACCAGCTGCTGCATCCCGCGGGCCCGCACCTGCAGGGTGGGAGCAACCAGGTGGCCCCTGGGTAATCAGAGGGCAGGGAGGCCCAGTCTTTGTCAGGCTGGGACAGTGAGTGGGTACTCAGGCCTCGAGGGGACGGAGGGGACGAGACGGCGTGTGTCTCTGGGCGATGTACGCTGGCACTAGATTCGAGTCTGCTCATTTCTTATAATCTGTAGGGAGACAGGGCGTCTATGAGTCCTGCTAGCTCTATGCCTTTTCCTCAACTACTACCGACTTGAGTCTGGGGTACTAGAAGCCCCAAGCT